CCGCCATACATACGTAAGGCAACATTATGGGTAGCAACAACAAACAGTTACATAAGGTCACTTCTACATGTAAGACTACATGTAGTACCAAATGTCAAGGTTACGTTCACTCAAGTTTCAGTTTTCGAAATTATTTTAAAGATTGTCTGCTGTACGATTACACTCACTTACAGTACATCCCCGATTTTCCATAATCTATACCAGGGCTGGAAATATATGTACCACCCGCATATATAATCATGTATATGCAGGTTAGTGCAGGTAAAATTGAGGCTGTACAGGTTACCTGCTATGAAGTGCTATAAGAAATACTGGCAATGGTTTCTGAACAGTATATAGTATGATCCATTTTTCCTAAATTCTAGGTGGTGCAGGTAATATTTGTCTGGTGCAGGTAATTCACCAGTGCAGGTATATATATATATGCAGGAAAAAGTATTTCAAGCCCTGGATACCAACAGAGTGTCTTCCCAAAAGCCATAAATTTTTGTGTGTAAATCCCTTCGTAAATCCTGACACTCTCAGTGGAGCAAAAAAACCCCACCTGCTATCAAACTGACAGATGCACATCCCGTGATAACAGCCTCATTGGTACATTCCAAAACCTCTCTATTGCCAATAAATGAAATTTGTACAACTCCAGATACATTTTCCAAAGCAAGTCTGAAACCCCATACCACTAGTAAACACATTATATTGAAACTTTGGGACCAACATCAAGGTAACACACATTCTAACACAAGTAGTACTGTACAATATCTTTGCATAACAAGATCAGTATCTAAAGGAAGACAAATCGTTGATATATTTAGCACTTACAAATGACACCTCAAGGGAGAGCCTTCCACTTTGATATATAACTTCTCTTTGGTGAGCACACTTTAAAGGGGAGAAACACACAGAGATAACAATCTATGCATATCTAGAGGGCTGCATATATCTTCCAGTTCAAAAAGAGTCATCTGGGAGTACAGCTGCTTTTGAAGTGTGTATGTTCTGCTATTAACTACATGTATCCCAGCGTGAGCTTTCATTCCTATGCATCCTCAATCTATTCTCAAATGTAAACACAGCTAAATATGCACAGGTGCTATTAGCTGTTAATTGAAACCATGGGAAAAAATTATGATAGTGAAATGAAAAAAAAAAAAACAATTACTTCTCCGGCTTGGAGAGACAACCAATATTTACCTTTGCCAAGAAAGTTATATTTTCGGAAGCAATTGTGTGTGCGTGTGTCTGTCTGTCCGTCAATATGATAAATGAAGAAGGCTTGGATATGGATTGTCTGTATATTTAGTAGATGGCCTGGTCTTGATGAGACCTCTATCATGTTAGTCTATGTTATTCAATTTTGGGTCCTCTGGCGGCTTTCTACAGTACTGCAGTACTAGTGGACCTTCCAATATTGATCTGGACATACTGGTTGTAACTTATGATACAAAATAGCCTTGCAAAAAGGAAAGTAGCAACCCCATTTTGCCTTCCTTGTATAAACATTAATCTTTCAAATAAAATTTTCTTATTGTTTAACTTTAAGTCTTCTTATTCCCCTGGGGTGCCCAAATCGAGTGTCAGTGTTCTATCATTTAGCACTACAAGGTCAGAAATGTGCTGTTCCTAATAACATGAAAAGGCCAGCTGTTAATGGGAAGGCAACACCCTAGTGTCACTGGGGTGGGACTCTACCACATAAATGTATGTCTAATTGTTAATCATGTTAAGCATAATAGAATATACACACATGTACTGTCACAGGTGGCAAATCTAACACATGATAAAACATCAAAACAAAAAGACAAGCAAAATACCATCCTCATATATAACCTATGTGTCTCTATTATTCACACCCTAAAGCCAATGCCTCATTTATTATTTATTCCACGTTACGCCCGTCTCTTCTCTGGATCAGAGATGGGCATCACAAGCAACAGTTTTCCCAGGAGAATCGAACGGGAGCTGAGATACATATCACCATGCATATCAACACTTCTGTTAGCTATAGTGCAGTTTGTGTTGATATATGGTCTACGCAACAACAAAATACAGTCTGCTTAAGGTTTTCATATGCAAAAAAATTAATTTGTGAATATATATAATTTCCAGTTGGAAGTATTGTTACTGTAACTACATTCATGGTAGCATAATTATAAAGTTTGCGGTCTGAGAAAAATTGAGGTGTTCACGGAACTACATGTATGTATGTTCGCAGTGATTGCAGGTGCAGGAAAAAAGGAAGTCTGCAAAATATTTGTAAACAGAAATGATATATAGTTAACATAATGACTGCAGAAAATGTGAACATAAAAGTACCAAGAAAAAATCCGGAATTACGTATACAGTACTCCACAGAACTAAAATATTCATGCTTCCTGTATTGTACGTAAGGTTTGCAATCATGATGACCATTAAAAACAGAATTCATCATGTGGTTTTCCCCCTTTGCCCTGGTATCATTGTCCTCCATAATGAGTGATGTGACCCCTTACATACCATGCCTAATTGCCATTCAACCCCTACTAGGAACTGACCTCAATGTGGCCAATAATGCATGACAGTGGGCAGCACTGAGTTCAATGACACAAGTGATTTGTATTTTTAGAAACCTTTCAATTTAAAACCCTGCTGGGCTGAAATCTATTTTCTTTGGCACTTTTTCAAACCTACAAAACTGATTTTCTTGTTTCAATCTGGTCATACAAATACAATGTGCAAAGATAGTCAGTAGCAGTGAGTTAAAATTATTACTCAAGTATTAGTGTTGTTATTGTTGCATTTTTTTTCTTAGAAACCATTCAACCCCTTTTGGATTGAAATCTATTTGCTATACAATCCAAGCTGATAAATTTTACTGCATATTCTCACATAAAATGGATTTAGTCCTTGTTATTACAGGAGTGCCCTGCGGCTGCTTGCTTCTGTAGGTATAAATTCAGAATAGAAGAAACAGATCCTACCCACAGATAGGATGATATAATCCTGCATACCCACAAGGCATTCATGGGCTGTGCTATCTCCAATCAGTTAGGCTTCGGCTTATTTTTAGACTTTTTTTTAATCAGGCTTTCTTTTTTTTTTACTGGCATCTTTTCCTTTCACCTGCAGGGTGGCAAATGGATGTTGCCTAAATTTGATGAGTTGATACTGTCTTGCAGACACTCAGTAAAAGATCTGCTTGAAGATTAGAACCATACTTGCTGCTCTGGCAAGTTTCGAGGGAAGAATAGATACATAGAGAACAAGATCATGATAAATCTCATGATCGAGTAGAGAACCTCAGATAATGCAGCTGGAGTTTTGTTGGCACATCAATGCCAGACATCTGAATTAACGGGTATCTTTTTACAAGAATGGACAGAGTTACTGGTATGCTGCATTGCCATTCACAATCAATGGAAGCCTTTCATACAACTGACATGCCGTGCACAGTCGCAAAAGTTCGACTTGATTCTGAACAAGAAAAATTTGTCTGGGCTCCTAAAGTTGAATATCCCTGTTATCTCTAAATAATATCTCTCTAGAAAAATACAAGTGTCATATTCTTAAATTTGTCATAATATCACATATCTCATACCTAAATGCAAAACAGGAAACAAGGAACAATAAACGTAGACTAGTGAGTGAGTGATATTAATAACTATCATGAATAATATGTTATCATTATTATCAAAATGAAAAAAAAAATTAAAATAAGACACATGGAAAACAAAAATTCAGTTCAACTGTGATAATATAGTGCCAAAAGACATTTTCCTGATAAACAAATCTGTAGAATAAAATACAGTACATGGTATTTTGTAAATAAATTCAGACAACAATCTTATTCTTAATCATACAAATTTCAAGTCACACCCAAACAAAACTACTTTGTAGGGAAAATACATCAATACCTCCGATAGTGCCCCTAACACTATTTCCTACATCAGACCACTCAAAGCACTTAGCGTAGCAGTTAATGTCCACATAATGGACACAGAATGCAATAAATTGGTAGAAAATCCATATCTCATGTCCAACGCTGTCTGCTGATGCTATCTGCCCTTCCCTGTTCACCAATATCAACCCACGGACACACATACAACGGTACTGATTTTAGTATTGAGCATCCTACATTGTGAGTGCTTTAACAAGGCTTTCCATCATAAAACGGTACATAATTTCAGAGTTATGCCCCTTGTTAGTGCCGCGTCTGTATGGGACCTGTTGATAAATTGGAGGAAGTAGTGCAGTGGTGCTGTGGAGGTCTTGATGCACTTTTAACCACACCAGTAAATCTTCTAAATGGTCTGGTGACTCCAGTCCACACATTAAGAACATCCGAGCTCCATTATCAAGTCTGGGGTTCAAATTCCAGTGTTGCAGCTAAAATGTAAATAACCTCGTCTCTTTAACACTTGAAAGCAACCTTTAGAACCACAAATTACGTCTGATGACATTTGCTTGTACTCCAAAATCTCACAAGGTAATTTTGAAAATCAAATTATGAAATATGATGTTGATTTTGCTGTTACTGAATGCTACCATTATCATTCAGGGCTTTTCTACAGATTCTGCAAGTACATGTAAATACCCCAGGATTTTGTGTATTTGTACTTATCTGTTCGCAGGTCTCTTTAAATTATTAAGAATCTGATGTCTTTGGTGGCCTCTAGTAGAGGCTCGACATGTAGGCTGTACTTATCATGACCTTGCATGGCATTACATGTATGTCTCGATCATGATGTTGAGTTTATTACTATTATATTCTTATTTTATCAGAGGTAATTCTACAGTAAATACTACAGTATTTTATGTAATTTTCCTCACCTGTTCACCAGACTGCTCCAGTCTGAGTGCTTGTACTTGTATATTCTCCATGATTATATACATTTACAGGGAGAAATTGCATGACATGTCTTGTCTCCATGATGTAACGTTAGATTTTTTATCACGAAATAGTACAATTTCTACCAGGGCTTATTACAGTGAATACCACAGGATTTTTTAGTAATTTCTCTGACCTGTTCGCCGGAGTGCTCCAGGATGAGTGCCTGGAGATGCTCCACGCTGATCGTCCCTCTCCCATCCTTGTCGCACACCTGGAACACCTGCCTCATCTGGTCCCTAAAATCCGACTCGGGAGAACTCATCATCACAACTCCACTTCTTCCCCCCTCCCGTGCGACAACTGAGTCCTGTTGCTCGGTACTGGTTCTGCTTGTGGCGGAAGAAACATCTTGGAAGGTACTAGTACTCTCTCCCAGCATGTGGTCTCTGGCTATGCTCCCGGGGAAGACGGTAGTAGCGGACCTAAAGTAGCTAGCGGTACTCTTAAATCTAAGGTTTGTATACACACACGCCCGGCGTATGGACCGCTAGCCGCTACTTTTACACATTCTGTACAACATCCGTGGCTATATACGGCTGTCTAAACTGTGACAGAGGGAGGAAAATAACTCAGAAATTTGTAGAAAGCCTCCGGGCCACTTGTGGCGTCCGTGCCCCCAGGCTGAGTAGTGGCGAGGGCAAACTCCAAATCTTCAACTTCACTTCCAAAACATCAAAACTCGCGATGGTGTTGACAAACGTTGTACGGAAGCAATACTGTGTTGGGAGCCTCGCCAAAAATTCCACAGAGAGATCAACGCCACGGGAAGCACGGTTAGACAGTTGGCGAGTTTCCCTTACTTCCTGCTGGTGAGTGTGTGACGGGAGGCCCGTTGACAAATGTGGAAAACAGAGAGGATCGGGTGAAAAGAGACACTGATGTGATATGCAGCGGCCATGTTGAAATCTACCCAATCATCGGTAACAGCTTCCTCCTGACCAATCAGCGAACAGGACGGTAAAGTTGTAACAACAAAAGTAGCCAATCAGAGGCTCTTGATTTGTTTGAATATACCACTGTACTTATAGGTAACATTATACAATAGGACTTTAAACCAATGATAAACTGTAATCACAAGACAACTCTGGTCCCATAGAACAAAATTTTTTTAAATACTTCGACTAAATTGTAATATTCTTGATGATGTGTGTTTTTTACTATATATTTGATACGTTTTAGTTATAATGTTCCTTTTTTATAGGTCCCTATATACTTAGTGTATTCGTCCGTTTCCGGACATTGAGCAACAAGATGGCTTCCTCCAGTGATGAGAGTTCGTCAGAAATATCTCAAGAAACAGAAGAAAAGAAGACCACTTTCAAGGATTTGGTAAGGCAATTAAATACTCTTTAATCTTAATAAAATAACTTCGTCTTTTAAAGTATAACTAACGTCTTCACGTAAAAAATACACGGTTTAATTTGCTATGTATCTTCCGGTTCCTGTGCACACACATGCATGCGCATGCCAAATTATAGCAGACGGAAAAATGATTTTGTTACTAGCGCTGTTTATAAATGATTCCGGGCTAAACGATGGTTCCAAGTTCATTCACATGATAACTGCAACCGATAGGCATGTGATAGATCAGTCAGTCTTATTCTGATAGATACCTGGCCATATCAGAATGAAAACTTTGTGTGCCCCCCTCCCACCCTTCTACTTGTTGGATTCTAGGCTAAAGCACTAATCAAGCCTGCAGTCACATAAACAATAACATTATGCATCAAGTTGCAACAAGTTCCTATTACATAGACACTTTTTTAGCTGACCATCAGACAAATTAGAAGAATATTCATACCCACTTGATTCACCCATACAGCATTGTTTATTTATTATTGAATAACCTTTGGTCAATTTAATTTCCACCACCAGGGTGTAGTGGACGTGCTGTGTGAAGCATGTGAACAGCTGAAATGGACGACTCCTACCAAGATCCAGACAGAGGCCATCCCCCTGGCACTGGAAGGTAAGTACAGCATTCAGATTTAACAGCTGTATGATAATGAAAACTTTTTGAACAAATTTTCTCAAAGCATTAAAATGTTATTCCCAACCTCCTTCCATCCTGGAGGATGTGATTGGCCTGGCAGAGACAGGTGCAAGGAAGACCGGCACCTTTGCTCTGCCCATCCTACAGAGCCTGCTGGAGCTAGGCTATTTTTTTCTTGAAAAAAAAATTGAAAATCTCACTCCAAACGCCCTCCCGTCCTGTAGGTAAGGATGTGATTGGGCTGGCAGAGACAGGTTCAGGGAAGACCGGCACCTTCGCTCTGCCCATCCTACAGAGCCTGCTGGAGAAACCACAGAGACTCTTTGCTCTGGTCCTCACTCCAACCCGAGAGCTTGCCTTCCAGATCTCCGAGCAGTTTGAGGCACTGGGAGCCTCCATCGGCATCAAATGTGGTAAGACATGGGAGACTTGTGCCTGTTATCACTACCTTCTCCTAGAAGCAAAAACACATGAGGCTGTGAACTTTGAAAGTACTGATTCTGCCATAACATAATTTTCAAAGATACATGCATGTATGTGTACGTAGGTTTGGGAAGGAATAATAAACTTTCAGTCCTGTCTCAAACATGTCTTGCCTTCCTATATTATAAGCAAGGATACCTTGACTATTAGTGTACTTGTGCATGTACAGTGGTGAGTCTTTGCTTGTGCATGTCATCTCTCAGAAGCCAAGAGACATTTTGAACAATACATGAAAAACCGTGTCCCTTTTTCCCATTCTAGTTGTGGTAGTTGGAGGGATTGACATGGTCACACAAGCCCTGCAGCTGGCCAAGAAACCTCATGTCATCATTGGTAAGTAACATGGAATAACTAGTGATTTTACTAAATTTCTCTCTTTAATACTATTGTAACCATTTCTTTGCTCCCCGATTGCAAAAAAGGCCCTACTTAAACAGGGAGAGGGTATACCGATAATAAACAAAGCATCATCAATGCTGCATTTGGAAATATGTGATCTGCATGCATGAAAGTTGGAGAAATTATACATTATTGGTAAATTTGATCTATGATTATTTTTTCTCAGTTTTTGTTCCTTCTGTGTTACGTTGCAGCTACACCTGGCCGTCTCGTGGACCATCTCGAGAACACCAAAGGCTTCAACCTTAGAGCCTTGAAGTACCTGGTAAGACTGTGATTGTGTCTTGCCAATTACTAAGATAGCTGTAATATATTACTCAATTTTTTAGAAGTCAATTTTTTAGAATATTATACAGCTTCCAGATCATTTCTTGTAGGTCTGTTCCTGTATCATTTCATGTATATTGGTACCTGGATATGATGATGATGGTGGTTTATTTCATAAAATGTGCACAGAAAAGGGAAGAGTTATTGTTAGTGCAAATTACTCCTTTTTTAAAAGTATCCAGTATGGCTAAGGGAAGACTGTAGATTGTGGAGTTACATGTGCATTTTAAGGATCTAGGTTATGGAAGCTAAAATGTCAGATATGATTGTGTGAATTGTAATAGTGACAATGCCAATATAAAGATTTGTTTTGAAGATAGAGTAGGATAGATGTCCAATTACGCATGGACATCTTTACCCTTCTCTTCATTTCTAGCATAGAAGTTCATTTAACCAGTGATGGAGTAGAAAAATCTGGATCTTTCACCCCTTTTGTTGAAGCTTGGTCATCCTTGTGTCTAAATTTTGCCTGTTGCAGACAATATCTTTTCCAACGCAACATTTGAAAACTATAGTAGACAGGATGTTGTCTTTATATACTCAAATACGACCTTGAATGTTATAATATGCATGATGCATTACGGGTTTCACACAGGTGCTGTACGTTCTGCCGACGTGCTCATTTAACCCACAATGGCCCTTGTTTTTATTGTGAGTCAAAGGATTGTGACCTTAGAACCACACAGGACATTTATCTTCATATTCGTCCTTCTGAAAAATTCATGTGTCCTAGCTTTGTTCATTTTTTCGTGGATCTGGGGTGCAGGCACGGTTGCCTCAAAACCACCAAGGACATCTATCACAATTTACTGATGTCAGGGCTTAAAATATCCCCTTCATATGCAGGTTAGTGGAGGTGAAATTCGAGCTGTGCAGGTATTTATGATGTCACCTATACTGCCCATGATAAGACCAGCTTGCTACAGCAGTCAGTATTGTGGCCAGGCAAGTAGTGGCCCAAAAATTTTTTTAATATCTCACAGAAGCAACCAGCGTTACTGTTATCAGTTAATTCAGTTTATTCATTCTCTTGAAGGTGACACCATGTTATATCAGAATGATTTCTAGGACATTTGGCAGCTGGCCATCTCTGAAATCTGTAAATTTACAGGTAATCTTCAATGGTGCCTGCACCAGTACTAGTGAAGGTATAGAGAAAGGTATTTCAAGCCCTGACAAAATGTACTGATGTCAATGATTCATGAAACCAAAGCAGCTGGCCATCTCTGAAATCTACATGTATAGATTTGTCATTTTCAATGATACTAGTGCAGGTATGCAGAAAAAAGTATTTCGAGCCCTGACACAATGTACTGATGTGAAAGATTCATGTAACCAAAGGCAGCTGACCATCTCTAACAGGTTAACACCACATGTGGCCTCCTGACCTGTTGGCGACTCAGGGCATCAGAGCCAATCTTATCTCTTCACAGCACCTGGCATCTCCGACACATTTAGAAACAATCACCAACTTCTTAGCTGTTGTTTGACTTAAGGGCTTTCAAGTTTGTGCTTTTCTTTTTCATTAAGTCCATCAGGTAACCTCGCAAAATCACATGACAAAATCACATTGACTTTGGTACATGTTTTACATGATCCATGAATAGTTTCATCAAGTTGGTAAGTCACTGGGGCACTAAATAACTTACACAACTAAGGGGTTATTCAGCTGATGTTTTGGTCACCTGTGCTGTGTAATATAAACCAGACAAAATTGCCCTGCAGGAAGGTGACATACGGTCACTGAAACATCAGCTGAATAGGCCTCTTGGCCTAATAAGAATGTCAATGTTGTTGGAGATGTTCAATTTTGCTACTGAGAATAAGATGCACATAATCTTGCATGCCAGCAGTATACATGACATTGTACATACAGGTGGTAGGCTAGGATATAACTTATAAGAAAAAGGGTTGGAAAAAAGGCTCTATTTGATGCTGATGGTCACACTTGAAGAGAGTCATCATAATCCTCTCCCTGCTGTTGAATCCTTTGACTGATATGATTTGGTGCCAAAAGACCACATTGGCAGGTAAAGAGTTGAGGCTACTGAATGCAGATGTGCCAGTAATGTGTATTTCTGGGCTGCTTGTCTCCATGTAGGTACTGGATGAAGCTGACAGGATCCTGAACATGGATTTTGAGGCTGAGGTGGGTCAGCCATTTCAGACAATATAGTAGAAATGTTGTCATGTGTTTTACAATGAGATTGATGGAGGTTGTAATGGGAGAAGAAGGAGGGGTAGGCAATGGAATAGATAGGACAATATCTTTTAAACTTTTTAAAGAACGGACAGGTAGGGCAAGAATAGAAAAGTGAGAAGGGTGGAGAAAACCGTCAGAACATCGTTGTGTGTGCTTGTTTCTTTGTTTCGACTAGACTATATCGATGAAAACTCAAATTGGCCTGCAGATCACTTTTCATTGAGGTCATGAGGAGAGAAAATATGTAACAAACGGTTAAATAATTAGACTAAAGGATAGATGAGACAAGAGCCTAAACAGGGCATTGAGTGCCCAGTGTCTTTAGAAGCGTAGGTCACTAATGGTGTTCTCGTTGTTTTCATTTTGCAGGTAGACAAGATCCTGAAGGTGATCCCCAGAGAAAGACACACATATCTCTTCTCAGCAACCATGACCAAAAAGGTAAATGCATGCTATTGTGAGTTTTACTTCCTAGTTTGATATGTATACCTCCTTTCCATAGTACATTTGGGGTAATATTTGTATGCATGTATAATTGTATACTGGGATGTTACCTTCCTTGCACATGAAGGACACCTACTGGTTTGCAGAATAACTGCAGGCTTTAGTCAGACCGCATGAGTGTAGAAAACTGACAAAATTTATAGTCCTTTTCCTCTTCCTGTCACACTTTGTCATGTTCTGTGTCGTTACCAGAGATTAAAAAAATCTTCTTTACATCCAGGTGGCAAAGTTACAGCGAGCGTCTCTGACCAACCCTGTAAAAGTGGAGGTGAACTCCAAGTATAAAACAGTGGACACCTTACAACAGTACTACCTCTTCATACCCAGTAAATACAAGGTAAAAATTGTTACCATAATGTTACTTTGTTAGCAGTTTAGTTGTTCTGTTTCTTCTTCCCTTCAGATTAAATAAGATTAATAACCTGAACCAGACGGCTGTCACCATGGTGACAGGTTTTGGAATACATGTCTTTCATAGTTGATGACATTGTTGATGTGTTTTTTTTTTCCACAGGATGTGTACCTGGTGTCTATCCTGAACGAGCTAGCAGGTAACTCCTTCATGGTGTTCTGCAGCACGTGTAACAACACCCAGCGTACAGCCTTCCTCCTCAGGAACCTGGGCTTCAACGCCATTCCACTACACGGACAACTCAGCCAGGTCTGTCTCAAAAACTGTTTAGAACTAGTATATTAATTTTATTCATTTGACCTAAGGCTGTCCAACTATCATGTGGCTATTTTAAAGTGTGAACCTTGTCTTAAAAAGCTCTTTTTAAAAATGTGTTGATGAAGGTAAGATATTATGCTGAGGATTTTTAGAAAGTAGAAAAAAGGTATTCCAAAAGTGTAATCATTATGGTGGAATGAAGATAACATGATTTAGCTAGCTACCCCTCTCATCAAGGGTTTGCAATGTCTCCCTTTTGATAACAGTTTTAGTTTTTTTGATACCCTATACAAGAGACTAGGGCCTGTAGCCTTTCCCAGTACCAAGCCAATTGGGTGGGTGACAATAGTCCAGGATTCTAACTCTTCTTCAGAGTCAAAATCACAATTGCTTGCCGTCATATGATACATAATATACTCATTTGCAATCCATTCTTTTGTTATCTAACATTGTGCTACAACACTACTCTACAGAACTCACGGCTTGGTGCCCTTCACAAGTTCAAGGCCAAGAGCCGGTCTATCCTGATCGCAACAGACGTGGCCAGTCGGGGGCTGGACATCCCTCATGTGGACGTGGTCATCAACTTCGACATTCCTACTCACTCTAAGGTGTTATGTCTTCTCTAAAATTTGTAGAAACTGTAGTGAAAACAACTTAAATTGATGGAAATTGATTCATAAATTTATTCATTCACAGGATTTCAACACGCAGGGGCAGGGGGAGGGGAGGAACTGTCCCTACTGAATTATGTATAGATTGTTACATAATACAGTGTAAATACAATTATATTCAATTTGTTGTACGAGTATTCAAGTCATGGGGGTACTTACCTGAAGTGATTGATTGATATATTGATTGATCCATTCATTCATTGGTTGATCGATCAATTCCTCTATTTCAGGACTACATCCACAGAGTTGGACGTACAGCCAGAGCTGGGAGGTCTGGGAAGGCCGTCACCTTTGTCACACAGTACGGATCACATTCTATACAGTTCTAAGCATATGTTAGACAATTTAAAGTTTTTTTTCATCAAGAAAAATAACATTTCCATTGGACTCCAAGAAAAAGATTTTTTGTCAAAACCACTGAGATGGCTAAAGACAACAGAAATGAATAGATAGATAAATCTTGACACCAATGTTCAGTATACCAAGACTAACACAAGCTTGACATTAGGGCACTTTCAGTCATTGGTTTTACAGATTTGTAAGGCCGCACAATCCTTGTTGTGTTGATGATAGACAAAGCTGAAGAAATGTTTGCACCAACTGAAGCCCTAATGTTAGAGTAAGCTTTGTTCCTGATTTTGCTGTTACTTGTAGGTACGATGTGGAGCTGTACCAGAGGATTGAACACCTGATTGGGAAGAAACTGCCGCTGTATAAAACAGAGGAGGAGGAAGTGATGGTGATGAATGAGAGAGTGATGGAGGCTCAGAGATACGCCAGGATGGTGGGAACCCAGTCTGATTCACGTCACTGTAGATCCATGGATTGACGTAAAATTTAGGATTTATAAATGGGAAACACCCTAGCATGTTAACAAAGTGCAAAGACTTCAAAGACTCTAATTGGGATTTCTACTGGTAGAATCGCTGAGATCTTCCCCAACATGTACATATTATCCAACCATTTGCGTCTTGTTTTTTGTGGCCCCAGGCTTAATGCTGGATATCATGTCAGGTCCTTGAGAGTCAGAGACACCCTTATCACCATGTCAGGGACATACCTCATTTGCCATTGCCACTTAACATAAAGCAAACGTATAAATACCTACTATTCCCATATTAGCCACTGGCCAGCTTTTTTTAAAAGCATTTCTTTTTTTTTACCACAGGAAATGAAGGAGCAGGGTCAGAAGAAGGGAGGGAAGAGGTCTGCAGCTGATGATGATGAGGACACCATGGAAGCTTCAGGTGTCAGGAAGAAAGTCAAAAAGTTCCAGAAAAACAAAAAGAAGCACTAACACTAAAATCTAAACTCTTTTATTGATTTTATATTTTCATCTACTTGGGTAGTGAAAGTATATTCTATTGTTTATCTGCAACCTGCATTTTCACTATGTTTTATAACATAGTTTGGTCAATATGGAGGTAACTTTAAATATTATTGTTTCATTGTTGTTTTTTTTTTTGGATTTCAAACAAAATAGAACAGGGAATATGTGTTTAAATTAGAAACAGGTGAATATTGGAGAAGTACTGAATGATGTAGTTTTCACTTATATGGCAGGGGAACTTACAGTCTATACATGTACTGTGAAGGTAATTATGTGTTACACAACAGAACACATGCTGGAAAGTTTAACAGTACTTTTCAACAAGTGTTCTCAGTCTCAATAAATGATTCAGCATTAGAGCATTATTCCATTTTCTTCACTGCATTAGATATGGGATGTTTTAGCAAATTTTATCCTTTATATTATATCAAGGTTGCTAATAGACAAACGTAGCTTACAAATGTCTTCACAATGCCCGAAAGATTATGACATTTCATAAATACTGGAGTTCACAGCAATACCAATAATCCAGAAGGAATAAGATTTGCTAGAAGCAATATCGGTACCACATTTCAGTGGTCAATATAAGATTGTGGTCCTTCTACATATATGTATGTCTTTGCAAGCCCAGACACGTCTCAAATAAAACAACAACCAACGGTGACCTTCTTGTGGTCAAAGTAACATGTATCACGTGATCACCGTGTTCAAACAAACACGTGACTCGTCCTGATCAAACATTTACCTCATCACGTGTCCAAATATGGCCGCATGGATGACGTAATTGCATCATTACATGTTTTGCCTAGCGCAAGTTGTTAAACCCACGTTGAACGCAGCTGGTGTCGATTCTAGATTTAGTCTTCATATTTTCCGAGAGAAAATCCCACAATTTCTTGCCACCATGGGCCGCACAGGTCGCCAGGACAGCGAATGTTCGACTGTACCTCTAGATCCGTACAAGGCGGACTACAGAGAGCCGTCCCGTACCTTTAGTAGTGTCTGTATGCTCGTCGTCTGCGCCGTGTTGTTGCTGTTCTCGCTCGCCATCGCTGTTTGGTTGGTTTGTACGTGGTTGTCCTTCAGTCAGGAAATCGCAAGGCTTAAGCTTGATTACCAGAAAGTCGACGAGCGGCGAGGATGGGAGACGAATAGTGAGAATATTTCAGCACTTGTGGAAGAGGTAAGATTGCATTTTGTTGCAGAATATTTTTTACAAAGTTTTATGCTATTTCTAAAGTAATAATGTATTTTGTTCAAAGAACATCTCTCGCAGCACAGGGACTGAATTTTATGTTCTATACGTTGGATAAAGGGTAAGATTGACACATTAACAAGGTCTACCATACTTCGGATTTGATATTTTTCTTCAGAATCTATTTCAATTAAGACGAAAATAGTTCAGGCTGTTGTATAGATTTGTATATCTGTATCTTCTTAATAACAAAAGGAGGTTAAACTAATTATTACTAACTACATTGTATATTATACAGTTGTTATTGTCTGCCTAGTATATGGGTTTATTAGGCACACATAGTGAACGGTTCGCTCCAAAGTTCACGTTGGCGGGGAATTTTCTTTGTCATCAATGGCGCAGTAGTGCTGGCCAAATCATGGTGCAAAAATTATAGTGCAAACCTAAATTAAGCGTGCGCAGTAAATTCATAGGAACGTTTTAGCTGTTTGCGCTGCGCTGAAACTTATATACCTATTCTACGAGAAATACTGTGGCAAAGACATTGAAAAATTATTTTTAAAGACCCTGATACAAAACTACTGCAGCGGCTTATTCTAAGCCTCTCATTCCTTAAGGCGCTACAGAAGTACCGAGCCGAGCGGGGCCATGTTGAGGTCGGGCCGCCCCTGCCGAGCGGCTGGACCAGCGGGCGGGACAGGCCCCTGGCTCATCTCACAGGGAACCCGGAGCCCAACCACTATCCTACACGTACGGTTAACTTAGATGTTTTGTGCACAATATCATTCATAGCGACTTCATATAGCTGATAAGATGAAAGTAGTCATTCGATGGATGCACGATAATATATTAATATTCAGATGATGCAATGCAAGAAATTAGTTGGTCACAAGAAAGAGATGGTTTTTCCGATTATCCGTTTGTTTTTATCGTCTATCGGATATCTTGAATGAAAATCATAGTAACACATGCAAGTCTAGGATTTGACAAGTAGACGTGTCTGTGAAGCTGTTGCAATACGCTGAATGGCACTCATTCTGATTCAAAGAAACACCGAGAGACATACTTAAATGTGGTATCCAACTACATGGTCTGTATCGAGAAATTAACTGTTCTCCACGAGAAATTAACTGTTCTCCAACACAAAGGAATTGGAGTCATCGGAATTTTCGACCGAATCTCTCTGTCTTCATCAGCTTGGGATCAGCTGAGATGAAGTGTCATACTAATCTCATGTATTTTTTACAGGAGAAGAGAACGAGGTTATCAAGATCAGGACATGGGAGACTGAGCACGGTCTGGCCACCCTAGCCAACGGTATGGAGTACAGCCGCGGGAACCTGGTCATCCCTGCTGATGGGCTGTACTATGTGTACTCCCAGCTATCCTACAGGTGTCTTTGTTTTGTTGTGTTTTGTTTTGTTTTGTTAAGGTTATAATTTGGGAGAATTTTCTTACTTTTTTCAGGTCAAAATTCACTATATAGTGTGTGTGTGTACAAGAGCCAATAGGCATACAGCTTTCTTGTATTCTTCTTGCTGATTTGCTGGTTGGGATTTAATCGGGTTAGCATGCATTACCACATGTAACGTTACATGTGTCAAGCTACATGTAAAGCATTTTGGCAATATGAACTGAATTTAATTTGTTTGGTAGGTACTAGTATGTTTTAATGTCAAGGTTTACTAATAGATATTCAAGAAACACATAATCCGGTATGACAAAAGTTCTGAAGGCGCTAACACTTTCCTACAGGTTCAGAAACGATCTGATTGAAGATTCAGGCAAGGAGGAGGAAAAAGTCTTCCAGATCATCCACTACACCTACAGGAGGAACTCCTACCCCGAACCCAAACAGATCATGAAGACGGCTAAGAGCACGTGTTGGTCTAAGCGGGTTGAGTTCGGGTTGTACACGTCGTTCCAAGGCGGGGTGTTTCAGCTGGAGAAGGGGGACAGGATCTGGGTCTCGGTGTCTAACGCTCCTCTCATCTGCTTTGACGAAACGTCCAGCTTCTTTGGAGCGTTCATGTTGTACTGATCAATGCGTACGCGTCCATTGTTGTATCCGTTGATGTATATTCCATACACATATCATATATCATGTCTAAGGTTCGATAATAATCACGGTTGATGTCAAGTGATGGGCTTGATTTCTATCATGAAATATTATCAAAATTATTTATACAATGAGGTATAAAAATGCCTCTCTTTTTGTACTCCAAAATGCGGCCACGATCAACAGAGTGCCTTATACTCCTCCTACCCTCTGTATACGTAATAGACTAGTCCATATTTGAATATTAGGTAGTTCAGCGTACTAGGTCTAGGAAAACTCAAGACTCTGGTTTAATCTAGATTTCTTTGTTCTTAACCAGAACACTTAGCACACACGATCAAAGACTTCATCATTTTATTGGTTGGTCGTTACTTTTTTAGTTGATTTGTATCATTTGCCATATTACTACAGTGTTTATTACTCATGTTATACCTTTGTATTTAATCAAATAAACGTCTTCACAAAAGTCACAAGAATCCTTGCAGTGAGTTTGTGCAATAAACCATAGCAAGTTTGACCATAGCAAGTAACGCAGTAAACACGTTCCGGCAAGTGTAACAGTGATTGATTTGTATGCCTATATTGTTCCATTTTCATACTTTAGCAGTCACCTTAGTTTGCTGACTGTGGTATTTCAATTGCCCTATAGACCTCTGCATACATAAATCTGTATGAGTGTAGTCTGTGTGATTGGTGGTAGCTACGAGCTACGCATACATGTACGTAAAGGTGTTTGTTTTACACCCCACAAAGGTACAAATATCAACCGATTGTACCGCGCAAATGCATAGATAGTATAGTACTCAATCTCGACCGGTCCCTATTTTTCTCCACCAAAAAACAACGGAAAGCAAGGCACAAATGGCAGCACGCAGTACCAAGCGTCAAGACAGCGAATGCTCCACCGCTCCTCTTGCTGAGGAAGTCTATGAGCGGAAAGGCAGTTGTGCCAGCCACTGCGCGCTCGTGGTGTTGTGTTCTGTTTTGACGGTGGTGTGCGCGGGCCTGTGTGCCGGGCTAGCCGTGATGTGGGTCTACCTCGGCCAGCAGCTCGAAGATCTCAGGAACGCCTACGAAAAGCTGGAACTGACAGGACTCGGCGGTGAGCAGGTGAACATCACTGCTGCCGTGGACGAGGTGCGGACGTTTAACAGTCTTGTTTTTAGTTGTTATCATTGCTGAAAGTTGAGTCAAGTTGTAAACAAACTCTTAGCCGGGGCTTGTTTTGATTACGTACGAAGAAGCATGTCAGCATGAAATAGAATGAAGTAGATTGCCAGCCGTTTTTATGTCGCCTTGGTAACAAAAAATCATCAACTGTTTGAACTGCAAAACTTGCAATGCTGTTTTTTTACAAAAACAAAGTTGAAAGTCTTTCACTTTCAAAAAATTCAAAGGTCTCTTTCATGCCTGTAGTAGGTCTGTCTGTCAAAATCTGATGAGACGACGTATTAGTCACAAGTTAAAAGTAGAATAGCCATCCGCTGATTCAAAAGAAAAAATGTGACTCATTTCTCTAAAGGAATTGGTTTGATATTTCTGTCTGTTGATAAACAATTGGTATTGCCCACTAATGACATGTTGGTGCAAGGGTCAACAAGTTGTTTTTCATCCAGGGTAAAGTCCACCTGCATAGCACGTCGGCAGAACGTACTGCGCATGTGCGAAACAATTTTTTCTCCGTTTTCGTTGGATATTTGGTCAGAAGATATTTTTCTGACACAGGAATTGAAAGCTATAAACGCGATATCATCCTTAAACACGCAAATTAGACGAGCTCTGCCAAAGTGCTATACATAATACGTCGCTAGTTTTGCGCAGGCGCGGTACGTTCTGCTGACGTTGCAATGGTCACGCTGAAAATAGCATGACCTTCATACACATCATTACACTAACTAAACATCAGTAACAGATGCAATTGATTTACTTGCATCACAAGATCTGACGTTGCATGTACATGCGACGGTAGCACAATGCCCTGACGTAATTTTGTGACCTTTAAACATGTATTATATTATATTGAAGATTTCTTTTTTTTCTTTTTGCCAGGCTGTGAGATTGTTCCTGGAGGATGAACAGAAAGCCGACCGTACCCATGTCGGTCCTCCTCTACAGACCGGCTGGTCTTCGGGCTCCAGCAAACCCATGGCTCATCTCACGGGCAACCCCAGACAGAACATCAAGAGTAAGCTGTCTTCATTAACTACCAGTTTTAAGGGGGCGTTATGTAACATTTTTGCTCAAAAATGTTCCTTTTAGGAAATATTCGTATGATTGTAATTTTACTTCCACTTGTCAACACATTTGTGCCATTATCTCACATTTCTTACATGCACGGTTGGCGTTAAAACATCCCAGACGAGACGCACTAAGTTTGTGGTGCAACCACAAATTAGTGGGCAGTTGGAACATTCTCCTTCCACTGCCTCAAAAGAAGAAGTCAAACGTAACAAAACCAGGGCAATATTTATTTCAGAATATAGCATTTTGTAGAAATATCATTTATCATTATTATATCAATGTTTCTTGCAATGAGTCTAAACTGCCATGTATTTAAAATCGCGTTATTGTTTCTTAGACATACTCGCATTGTTTTCTTATGAGAAAATTTGTTCTTTCTACACAGAACACCACGGAGAAGTAAAACTTCGGTCCTGGGAGAGCGAACAAGGCCTGGCCACTCTAGCTAACGGGATGAAATACAGAGGAGGAAACATCGTCATTCCTGCAGACGGACTGTATTACATCTACTCACAACTCTCCTACAGGTTCCTAAACGAAAATCCTTTCGAAAATCCTAAAGAAGATGCCAACATCTTTCAGCTCATACACTACACATATAAACAATCTTCTTATCCAGAACCGCAGATGATAATGAAAAGTTCTAGAAGCACGTGCTGGTCTAAAAGGACAGAGTTTGGACTTTACACGTCCTTTCAGGGAGGGGTATTCAGGCTGGAGAAGGGAGATAAAGTTTCGGTTTCGGTCTCAAACCCACAGATGATTTGTTTCGAGGAATCCTCTAGCTTCTTTGGCGCTTTTATGATATGAAATAAAAGGCTGATTAAAACAAAAATCACACATGGTGTAGTCATGGCATGGCTTGTATCAAAGTTATACAAAGATATTTTCTTGAGCGAAATGATGTATACATTTTATATTCAATTTGCAAGTTGAGAGCACTGTTGTCAAATACCCATATATGAGAAGGCTTCCATTCACTGCCAGCTTTTAGATTCACAATTTGTGCAATACTGGACGAATAGAAGAAAGTAATTGTAAATAAATGAAGTTATCTGAAAACTCAAATTTGAGTGCTATATCATCTATATCCCGCTATCTAAAAACGATTAAAACAAGACATCTTGCATGAAAATGTTGTAACGAATGTTGACTTTATTTTTTCAACACAGCACTATTTGTACATTGGATGTATACATACAATCTTCCGTAATGTGCAACACAGAGATCAACTACACAGATAAGAGCAATGAGTGCACCACAAGCAAGTAAGCAAGCAAGCATCGCATATAAATACATTACGCAACTTACACCAGTAAACTTTCCATTTGTATAGCTTCTCACCAGTATGTCATTTGGTAGACACAAATATTTACATAATAAAAAACAATGAAATATTGAGAATAGGTAGACATTATGCAATACAAGCATCTTGAAGGTTGTTAAAATGATTTACATAAAAGAAAGCTTGTAGAGTTACAAGTAAAGTACAATTCACTAGATTACAATTCGGAAGTTGTTAACATGTATCATACACGGAAAAAACTGACAGAATCACGAAACGACTCAGAAACGACCAAATGTCGGTTGTGAGTCAGTGCCAGGCCCCTTGGGTAGTTCATTCCAAGTTCCTCGTGTGTCAACAGGTGCCTTATGAAGGTGCCGTCTATACTGAATAGTGAAACACGGTGGTTAAAATTGTCAGCCACGATGATGTTGTCCTTGCTGTCCGTGATGACACAGCAGGGACAGTCCAGCTGTCCAGGTCCCGAGCCACGTGACCCGCGCGTGAAGAGATGACGACCGCTGGGGTCAAATATCTTCAAGTTCTCGTTGCTCCAGTCACTGATGATGATTTGGTTGCTGCTGTTGACGGTCACGCAGAGGTCAGAACCCAACTGCTGCTGACCTTGACCTTTGTCCCCGAACCTCAGCATGACGTCACCGCTGGGACTGAGAACAAAAACTTGGTACCCGATAGTGACGATCGTGCGTCCCAAACCGTCAACAGCGACACCTTTGGTAGTTTCACGTGCCTGTGAAGCCCCTTTGACGTGAATGACGCGTGACTTCCTCCCCTGTTTGTCTAGAACGTGAATCTTGTGGCCGTCTCCTGTCACCAACAGCTCACCGTTTGTCAGTGCCGCCACACACCAAGGCTGGAACCCCAGATCAACCCTCTTCTTGAACGAGCCATCTTTGCCCAGAAATTGCAGGCGTGAGTTGTTATTATCGGTTACTACAATGTTTGACTCTGCTGTGACAGCAAGCGAGGACGGATGGGAAAACTGTTCATCTCCATTGCCTTTCTCCCCAACAGTTTTGACGTGTTTTAGAATCACCTGACCACTACCGATCACGACATTTGCTCGCACCTGTGGATTTTGAGGTGGGCGCAAAGGTGTCCTCACCCGGTTTATCCCACTTACTAGTTTAGCTACCTCCTGCTTCAGTGAACCATTTGGTGGGTCAAAGGACAAGGTCACAAAGTCCTTGGTCAGATCAGACTTCTCGGTGTTTTTCTCCTCCGCGGATTCGTCTAAACTTACGGTCAGTTCTCCGGCCACCGACATGACCTCTGCCGGGCTCCCGTACTCTAGAACGTTGTCCGTAAACTGGACACAGCTCCTTGTGTAGGCCAGGTCCATCTCAGCTGCCTCCATGGCGGCGTCCATCTGTTTCTCCCGAGCAGCATTCATGGCGCGAAGCTGGCTGATTCTGTCGTTTTCCACCTCCCTGGCAGCCTCGATAATCGTGTGCACTTGTTTTCTGATCTCTTCTTCTGTACGACGTACCTGTAGAGACCACTCGTCCTTCACTGACTGTAACTGCTGTACCCATTTGTCATGCAGGCCTGCTGTGTTCTTGACTGTCACAAGTCTTGCCTCGATCTTTTCTTTCTCCTTCTCTCCTGCAATTGCCACCTCCACGTACCGGTGGTCTTTGTGCTCCGTGACCACACAGTGAAGACAGATGACCCGATGACAGGTGTCACAGTAGAACTTGTTCAGTTCGTGGTGATCCTCACACTTTGAGGGCTCCCTTGCCCGAAGCTCGGTGGCGGCTTGACCCGAATTTAGGTCCTGAATGGTTACAACTTTATGGGACTTGGTCGCTTTGAACCGACGGTGGGTCCGGTCACACGTCCGACACAGGTAGTCGGTACACTCCACACAGTAGATTTGAGCAGAGTTCCCCACCTCACAGCCCGTGCAGGGGACGTCTTTCTCCCGCGGATCAGACGTCCTTCCACCCGGTTGCAGAAATTCGCGAAGTTTGCCAACGAGAAAGTTGGACTTCAGCCCCTGGGCGCCATTCTGAGGAAGGGGCACGTGTTGGCGGCATGTCGGACAGTCCAGTTTCCCTACTGGCTCTGCGGCTAGGAGCCTCTCCATACAAGGCTGGCAGAAGGTGTGAAGACACGGCAGCATCTTTGGCTGCTTGAAGTGTTCCAAACAGACCTGGCAGACGAGAAATTCCTTGACAATGTTGTTGAATTCTTTGGACGCCATCTTTAGTTAGGCATCCGCATAGGCGTTATTGTAAACGTTGGCACACTTGTTGAAGTGTCGTGAGGGGCAACGGAAACATTTTTGATTGGTCTATTGAATTTTGCCTCGTAACGACACGTCAGGGCATTCTATTCATTGTGTTTTAAAGGGGTTTAGTCTAGACGACGCAATATAGATGAAAATCTGCACAACGCAGCTATAAAACTATAAGAGTAAAGTATCATAAAACGCTTGTCAATGATTGATATACTGAATACATACGAATAAGGTTTTCAATAGAGACCTGACAGATCAGATTTACCACTGGTGAATGATTATATTGATATTACAGATGACTATAACCCTTTATAAGTTTGGTCCCTTTTTAGTCACTGACATATAAAAAGATAAAGTAACTGTTTAGGAATACGTATTACGTAAAGTATAATTACATGTATGGTGCTTTTTATGTGGTCTCGATACGGGTATGATATTATTCATAGTAACTATAATTATAATACAGGTCTATTGATTAGTATATCATTTAGATTTTAACATTTAACGCCACTATCCAAACAAAAAGATATAAAATGAGTACATCATTCATCTTCTATATATTCTGGTGGGACCATGCAGGAATGTTGCATTCTCTGACGTCTATTTGTACTTTAGATACCACTAGCTTGCAAGGTGTCACGCAGAAATAAAATTTATCACCCTTTCGCGTCTGCATGTACTTTACAAAGGTTTAAAGTTGTCATAGGTGTCAAGCTCAACAACCACTTTATCCATCTGCGCAAGCATATCCCGCCTGTCTCTTCGTGGTGCGCTCTTTTTCTCATGAGAAGTAGGTTTAGAAGCACCCTTCACTTTACTGAAAGTCTTTGAGGCAGATTCTTTCATAAAAGCATTAAAATTCAGCCCATTGTCGTTCGTTGGTTGATTTTCTACTGCGTACACGTCCATTATGATAGCCATAAACATGCTCAATAAGAAAAACTGCATCATACACTGGTATATGAAAAATATCAACGGACCTAGAATGTAATGCCCGTGACTTAAGGCCTCGAAATCAAAGCTACCTAACACCATCAATAGAAGGCTTTGCAGACTAGAAGTTATGTTTTTGTACTCCATGAGCTTGACGCCGAAAATCAAACTTGCCGTCTGGGTAAACGCCATGATGACGATTCCAGCCGTGAACATGAACTGTGTTACAGGCTTGAGGGATCGTCTCAAGGTCATGGACAAGGCGTTCACGTGAGAGTTGAAGCGGAGGATCCGGATGAACTTGAACGTAGAGCAGCAGATGAGAAGGCCCAGAAGGTGGGTGTAGACCTGGTACCAGCTGACGGCGCTTTTGTAACCTTCAAAGGTAGAGTTTCCTGCCGCACGTTGTACTGCGACTTCGTCGATGATGCTTTGAGTGTAGAAGTAGACACCGAGAGCGGAGAAGCCAACAGCGATGACAAGAAGTTCTACCCAGCTCCAGAACTCACTCAGGTAGTCAAGGGGGCGTGAGAACAGCGCTTTACCTGAAAAGAAATGGTTTACAAGGTTAATTTTTATGTGCAAAACCATTATATAAATCATCATTTTCGTCATGCATTATGGCAAGCCCAATATGTTGGTTTAAAAAAAAACTTCCCGAAGAGTGCTGCTTTCCACGGGCGTGTACCGTGAATTTATACATAGTATAGTACTTTTTTTCATTCTAAGAAAGTTATACAGTCCTTTATTAAACTCTATGCTATGACTTCTTTATTCACCTTCCTTGAGTGCATACACGAGAACCAACAGAGCAAAGACTCCTCTGAGAGCGAGAAGCAAGATGGCGTCGCGTTGGATGAGTCGCAAGGTAACGACCTCTGACCCCTTGTAAATGGCTCCGAGATTGGTAAACTCTACTGCCATGGAAACCACGGAAAACAAGTTGACGTGCGGGTTGTACAGGGTGAGTTCTATGAAAACTACCCGTGTCTTGTCGTCCAGCCAGTCTTGTCTCTGTAGGTAAGCTGCTCGAGCCAAGCTGATTTGTTCTGTTCTTCCCAAAGACGTGACGTAGCCACCGGCTGAGTAGGTACCCCGTACTCCAAAGTACGGAAAAGCTGTGTAAAGAAACAAGGCAAGCATTGCAATTGGAATCAGCGCCTTCTTTTTAAACAGAAAATGCAGTGCAGAAACAAACGCAGCCAGACATAACACACATACTCATACACACAAACACGTATCGAATATATCTCACCATCAGTGACGGAGGCAAACGTGTATCTCCACGGATCCTGTTGATCATCACAGTCGTAAAATTCAGGAGATTCCGTTGTGTTGGGAAAAACTGAAAGGCAAAAAGCGTTGCCCGTTGTGTTTGTAGTGGTGTTCCACCGTTCTCTGTAGTTCTGTGTGTCGGCTAAATCAAGAGAATACATATCCGCACAGCGAGGTGTCACGGTCGTCATTCTCTCAGGTGGCGTACAGTGTTTGCCTGGATAAATATAGATAACAGTATCAATTAGAAGTAATTAGAGTAAAACAATGTTTCAAACGTTCAGCGCTCTTCATGGGCGCTGGCCAATTTCAGGTCGCAGAGAGAGCGCCGTGAGATAGCCAAGTGGAATGGGGCCTAACTAAAGCCAGGTCTCATTGTCACCTGAGCCAGACTAGATGTAATTACCTGGCTTTAGTCGCACTTGTCTCAGCTGCACTGGTCCCAGCGGGTGAGTTAACATGTCATCCAGGACCATGGTCTCCGTGACGCTCCAACCATTGTACCATCGGGACACGTGGGTGGCAGGGATCAACCCAGTTGTCACCCAAGTCCAGAACGACGGGATGTCTTCGATCTGGTAAGAAGAAATCAGAAATAAAGACTAAACTTTACCTGCCAACAATGAAATTTTCTGGTACGAATAAAATGTTGGTGTTAAAAAGACCAGTCCCTGCCTACTCATTTAGAATCATGGCGCTGTTGCGGAAAAAAGAAGAAAAGGTATACTACCCCTAAATAGAGGAATAAATAAACAATTTAGGAATGTAATCCAAGTAATTACCTCTGGGAAATTAATGTCGCCACTGTCAAGGATGAACCCCTGCACATTCTCCGTCACGTAGAAAGCCAAGGGGCTTCTTTCTTTGTAGGACGTCAACATAACCACGGTCACGAACAGCCCAAACATCAAAACCTCAACTATCTGTTTACGTCTCCTGCGTTTTTGCGTGCTCTGTGCGCGTTGCTCGGTTAGTGCGGATTCCTCGGGTGGGGAGTTAGGATGTGTCCCTTCAGAAGTCTGTCAGTAAAATGTAAGACGGATGATTAAGACTAGAACTGTAACATTTTCCAGGAGACATACAATGTTCATATTCTCATGGTTTAGCCGAGAAAACTACTGCTCTGTTTATACAATATGCAATGCCCAGTCCCCCATGCTACCCTGCAACTCCCATCATACTCGTAATGTAACCATAAGATGTCTGTTACAGCACTAGTTACCATGGTGACAGATGCCTGGTCTATGTTATTGATCTTAAGTCATTGGAAACGAAGGAGAAATAGCAAAAAATGTATGTGATTGAAAAAAACTGCTTGCGCTGGACCACAAAAGATAAAAATAATGGATCGCTAAATTGTCAATGGTGTACCTAATCACATAAGAGTTTTGCTATGCATACCGGCTCGGCCAACGAATGCGGCCATCCAACTTGGTCAGGACGTCGGACATAACCTCCAGGACGAAGGTAATTAGAGTCAGGCCAATGAAGAGTTCCTATACAGGAGCGACAACACTCCGAAACGATGATGATGATGACCATACCTTTTCACTTGAGTAGTGACGGGTTTCATCCTTTTCTGTCATAATATAACGTATCCATCCTGTTGCTGTTGACCATCGTCGATTCTCCGCCATCTAAATAGAATAATCATAAGAAATAAGGCAACTCCTGATGAGATGGCAGACTTTACCACATATTCCCTATACATAGAGGCATAGACGATGGTTAGCAAGGCTCCATCGAGTATTTTCTAAATTACAGAAACACACACAGACACTTGAACAAATAAGAAATAAGTCCATTATCTTGCATGTGTGAATATGTTTATTATCGTTCATGATGTCTAGGTATCAGAATTTCTTTTAAAAATAGCAATACAACTAAACGTACCCGTGTGTTATCCTGGAGGTACTCTTCATCTAGTTGCAGTGGGGCAGGCTGGGGGTCTTCGTCTTCAACAGGTTTCTGTAAAATGAATAGGGAAAAACACGACAACTGTATTAAATATGACAAATAAATTATATAACACAGAACTGATAGGTTTTTAGCAAGTACGAGCAACCGGGATAAACCTCTTTTGCACTCGATGAATTGCATTTTATCTTAGCTATATTTACTCCTGAAACGGCGCGCCCATTTTACTTGTTGTGGACTCCTTTTTTTTACTTTGTTGAACTATTTATAGGCCAGGGATTCTTTCTTCATGCATTCCCGTAAATTTCTCTGTCTACCTGTCTATGGATTTTGTCCTGGCATCCGGCCGGCTCTCAGCCGGCGATTGTGAATTCACCCACACACATGATTCCACTAACGAAGACAACAACGCATTAATTTCCATCTACTCTTTAAGGTAACAAATAATAGTACCTTTACTAATAAGGCAAACAGGATGGCGACCAACAGTAGCTTGAACGGCTGCAACAGGAACAGGTCGGTGAGGAAGGACGTCAGAAAAGTGAGAAGCCACGCCTCCGCCTTTGCACGTCCGAAACTCAGAGAGTACAGGACGGTGAAGAACGCAGCCACGAAGCTCGCGGACCAGACAAGCAGCCAGCCTGTGACAAATAAAGTCGAAGCCACCAAAACTTAAGTATTTGCATGGCAGAAATGTTCTAAAATGTGTAACGTTAACAATTGCTTACATGAATAGGAGATGCGAGCATACAAAATTAATCAAAAACTAAGACTACTTTCTCTCAGGACAAAATTAAAACGCATAGGGTAAAAAAGTAAATGTTTTTAATGAGTATATTATCAAAACATACCCAAGTATACAGCCCACCATGGAATGGTGGACGTTCCCGTCTCTTCATCCTCCTGATCAGTATTTCTTTCTGCTGTATTATCAGAGAACGAACTTGTCTGTTCTGCATAGCGAGGTAATCCAGTATGATAATCCGTGTTCATTTTGGCATCATTTTCCTCCCTGTGCCAAAATGACGGGGTGTCAACGCCAGTGTCATACAAAACAACTGTACGAGTTTCATCAGCTTCTTTCTTCTGTGGCAAATAGTTGGTAAGATTCTGGTGGGGCACTTTGTTCATTGACTTCGTTGCTCGCTTCTTTGCGGATCGGGAGCCAGAATTTCGGAAGAGGAACACGATGAGCAGGTTGACAGGCAGGATGATGGCTGCGCTCTGCAGGCCTATCATGATCTGGAACAGTAACAGGATTGATTGATTGATTGATTGATTGATTGATTGATTGATTGATTGATTGATTGATTGATTGATTGATTGATTGATTGATTGATTGATTGATTGATTGATTGATTGATTGATTGATTGATTGATTGATTGATCGATCGGTTGGTTGATTGATTGATTGATTGATTGATTGATTGATCGATTGATTGATTGATTGATTGAAGGGGTGATTGATTGAAGGGATCGGGTGAGTAATAAGCGGGATAGTGTAAGTAAAAGTTGCACAAACCTGCGGTAGTGAAATAGGCGAGTTGATCTCCGTCCCAGCGATTCTGAGTGGTTCTGGCGGATCGAAGTCGTCCCCGCGGCCGAAGAACATGATGTTGGTGACCATGGTGCTGTAGAGCAGCGTCAGGCAGCAGGACAGGCGCTGGACTCGGGTGAACGGGCTGCGTGCCGGGCGGCCAGCCACGGAGAACCACAGGTGGCCGTCGTTCATGTCCCTGTTATGGTAAAAAAAATTACCGGATACTTCTACAAAAGTCCAAACATCTGAGGCACAGCCAAATATGAAAAAGAAAGGTAGCTATGAAAAAGAACTTCCCTTACCTACCATCATTGCAGTCCTAAAAATCAATCAGCGTAAGTCCTAAAAAATGTCCATTAAAACACACATAGTACTGAAATTTAAGAATATAGCTGTTACCTTGAACTTTTTGCCAGAAATACGTTTCGAAATTCTTTCATCTCATCCGGTCCAGATTCGGGCAGGAGCCGATAAACCTTCCCGTCATCCTTGTCGGTAGCAAACCATCTAGAGAAGGAAATTGTAAGCGTATAAAGGAAAACAAAATCTATTAGGTCTTTAGTTCAATATGCATTATTTTGTATTAAATCAATAATGAAATTTGTTTATTAATTTGTTACCTTCGTGTACTAACGATGTGTTTGTACCTTAGCACTTATCAGAACAATTCAGAGTCACATGAAGTAAGGGAGAAACCGCAGTCTAAGATAAAGGGCTCAACTTAGAGGTGAAAAATTTCTCGCTGCTGGTTGGTTAGAAGTGTTTGTGGAATATACACAGATTTGGTGAAAAGTTTATGATGATAAATGACAAAAGGCAAGAAGAAACTAAAACTATTTTGAAAATAAGAATTATTCTTTTTTAGTATGACGGTGTAATTTAAATTGTGCTAGTGTCTTTAAGATACATTTAAATGTGTTAAAATGCATTTTCACTAATTTGCCAGTTACCTGTTGCATAGGAAAAAGTGCGGCCTGTTGTTGCCTCTGTCAGTCACTACAATTTGATTCAGGAACCTGGAAAAATGAGTGTCTAGTTTAAAAACCAGAATGTAATATAATAGACTGTAAATTCCTTTACATTACTTTGCAGTGCACACACACACGCGCGAGAGAGAGAGGAGGGGGGAGAGGGAGAGGGAGAGAGAGGAAGAGAGGAGAGAGGA